TAATGGCTCTGTTTTCCACTAGATGGTGCTGCTTAGCTTACGGGGGTGGATTGTTGTGGCGCTTGTAGGTTTGTATGTGCATGCGCAGGAGGGGTGAAAATGGCGTCACCCAGATATGTGGCCTTTAGTATTGGAACTCTGTTCTCCCTGACCAGCAATCGCATACCCATCCTTTGTCTTCGGCTTCCATCCACTCCCTGCTTTTATAGTCTGTGACCAAGCCTCAGGTTGCCAGGCAGCACCTCCCTCCTGAGTTTTATCTCAGATGCAGCTGTTTTTCCTGACCCCTTACTTCAGAGGAACTGTGGCTTTGACGCATTCTGCCCCTCTGCAGGAGGGTCTTACCGAGCAATAGCTGGGTTTGGCCGCTCCCAGGAACGTTTGCAAGACCATGCTGCTGCTGATGCCCAGAGACTGCAGCTAGGTGCCAGCCTGTCCCAGAGAAAGTTCATAAGATCATGTAGAAGCAGGATTTCAGGGATTATGGAAAATCAACACACATCTGGCACTAGGCTTCACCCTAAATGACCTTGTTCCAGTACCCATGAGTGTAGTTGTTCTCCAGGATTTCCTGGGACCCTTGCCTGTGGGAAGTCCTCCCAGCAGGGGAATGGCCTCTCCTTGTGTGGCCCAAGGACCCCCAGACTTTACTCTGCTCCTGAGGATTCGCCCTTCTCACTAGAGCACTGCCAGGTATCGAGCTGTGGAGTTTCAGACTATGCGCTCCCCCTGTTGATAGAGTCTTAGTGGAATTTAAACCCTCTCCTTTTTCTTTCTCCCCTTTTAGTTCAGTCCCTGTGGTTGTTGCCACTTTTCAACTTTCTCTCCAGCTGCTTTGGGGGTGGGGGATGCTTTTCCCATACTCTCTCCCCTGTCTCCATCCTCTCTCTGCAAGCAAAAACAGCTTTCTGCCCTTCATGGCTACTCTCTCCCTCAGTTCCACCTCTCTGCACTGTGTACCTGCTGAGTTCCGTGGTTCAGATTGTGCAGATTGTTGTGTTAATCCTTAAATCAGTTTCCTAGGTGTGCAGGATAGGTTAGTGTTGATCTGTCTGTATTTCATGGGCTTGAGACACAAAAAAACCTTCCATGATGTTCTGCCATCTTGGCTCCTCCCCTCTAAGTGTCTCCTCTTGATCACACCCCTTTCCTCCCATGAGAGATAAACTTGTCTTTACTTTTATGTTAACTACGTCTTTGTTTGCATTTATAGTTTTACACCTATTGATGTGCCCTTGAAGATGTACTTTAATTTTGTTTGTTTTAAAACTTTGTTTGTAAGTTGCATGGAGCTACATTTTGTTCATTAATTAAGAAATATCCTGTACATGCTTGTACCACAATTTTTACCCATCCTGTTGATGGACATTTGGAATATCTCCAATTCCAGGAATTAAGAACAATGCTGATATGCTCTATATGCTAGATGTGTCTGGGTGCATACATGCATGAATTTCTCTAGGGCAATGCCCCTGAGTGAAACTATGGGGTTATAGTATATGGATAGCTTCTGCTTTTCTAGATACTACAAAACATTTTCGAGCATGGCTTTATCAATGTATATTTCCTCTAGCAGTCTACAAAGGTTCTCATTGTTTTCTAATTTCACCAAAACTTCTAAATTCTTAGTTGAGTCTGACTTCTTAACACTTGGTGGTCTAATAGATATGCAGTACAATGTCACTATGGTTTTAGTTTGTATTTCATTGGTGATGAATGAAGTTGTGTGCCTCCTCACATATTATTGGTCATTTGGACATTTCTTTTTGTGAAGTGCATGTTCAAAAGTTTTGCCTTTCCTTTATTGGATTGCCTTTCTTTAATAGTGCTTAATTTAATACATGTATTAATAAAGAATCTGAATGACCAATGATCAGGACTGGGGTTTCACCATGCAGCCAGAAGGCAAATCAGGCAATTTAAAATTTTTCACAAAACCCTTTTATGTGATTAGCTGGCACAGATTTTTCATCAGGCAATTTGGGCCTAGGCATCTGCCCACTGGACTGTCTGCTGCCAGTCATCTGTCCATGCATCCAGATCAATGAATGATGCTGATGGCAATAGTTAACACTCACCAGACTCTTCTCATGTGCCTGGCACTGGGCTAAGCATGTGCCTTATTTACTTCTCACCATAGCTGGTATGTGGAATGTTCCATTAGGCTTAGAGGCTTAAATAACTTGACTGTGATGACTCAACTAGAGAGCGATATGGCTGGGAGTTGATCCTTCATTTTACTCCAGAGCCCGTGTTCTTATCCTAATTATTACACTTCCTTAAACGAAGTTTCTTTCTGGTTTCAAATTTGGGATTATTGTGTGCTTTGGAAATGGCAATCAGCTCTAGTAGAAGAGAATATAAGGGAGTACTTAATTTAGAGCTAGTAAAACTTAAATTCCCTAAAAATATATCATAATGCATTGTGAAGGATATTGACAAAAAGAAAATTGGCTTACATAAAGCATACTATGCACTTGAGATATGTTCACTTTACCTCATAGCCTGTACGTGGATGGCAAATACGGATTCTTTCAACTTACTACTGCTTCCATAAACATTTTACACATCTTGAATAGATAAAATCTGATGCTTTTCTCCAGACTCATTTTTTTAAGGTTAAAATCATGAATTAAACATATGGTATTGTCTTTCTCTGACTTATTTCACTTAGGATTATACTCTTTAGCTCCATCTGTGCTGTTGCAAATGGCAAGATTTCATTATTTCTAGTGGCCAGATAATTTTCCTGTGTGTGTGTGTGTGTGTGTACTTCACATCTTTATCCATTCACCTTTACTCATATATGGAATTTAAGAAACAAAACAAATGAGCAAAGTGAAAAAAAAGAGAGGGGGACAAACCAAGGAGCAGACTCTTAACTAGAGTGAACAAACTGAGGGTAGGTGAGGGGAGGTGGCTGGGCAGATGGGTGAAATATGTGAGCACTTATCATGATGAGCACTGAGTAACATATATAATTGTTGAGTGTTATGCTGTGTATACCTGAAACTAACATAACACTATATGTTAACTATACTGGAATTAAAATTTTAAACTTAATAGAATAAATAAATAGAAAAGAAGTTTAAAAATCATGCAGTAAATAAACAATGATGGCAAATCTAACCACACACTACCCTTAATTCTCAAAGCAAGGAAATAAGACAATCTGGCACACTTTGTTGAGCCTCAAAAGGCTTTCTAGTCATTAATAAGCATAAAACAGCAAAATGTTCAAAAGCAAAACTGTAAACTCTACTGTTTCTTGGACAAAACACCAGAGATCTGTGGAAAAATAAACCTTTATTTCCACATTAACTTTGAATTTTTTGGAAGATAAATGAACTATATTTTGAAACAAAACTTTAGAAAGGTGACCAGACTTGGAAAAGACCATGAGAATCAAGAGCCGAGCGACAGTCCACACAGTCGAAGGGAGTTTCTAAGCATTTTCTAATGGGCTTTAATTCAGAGGGCTTTATTTTTCCCTTTTCAGGGAACCTTCTGGTTTGAACACATTCACAGACCCTGTACAGCTTGCAAAGCTATGTTCTTTCTCCTGCTGAGACCCTGCTCAGGCTTGTAGTTTCACTTGAAAGAATAATTTTCAATGTCTCCTTCTAGGCTGAGCATTAATCCCCCCACTGCTTGATCGATTAAATCCCACTGCCTGTGTCTGGAAGGCGAAGTCTGAGCTTTATGTATTGCTTTCTGGCAAGCCACATTTCCATGCTCCCCAGGACAGTTGCAGCAGTCTAACTCTATGCAACAGGCTTTTGGACCCTCAAATCTTGAGGGCCAACAGGTAGTATCTTATGTTACCATCTAATGAGATTAAAGGCCTATAATGATTATATTGCTCCCTGATGAATTTGGCTTGATAATAGTATCTGGCTTTTTGTATGGCATTTATATGCTTACAAGGTGAGGATACATTATCTTGTTTGCTCTTCACAATCGTTGTTTGTGGGAAGCAGTGTTTTATCATAAACCATTTTAACAATGAGGGAAAACTGTGACTTTTGCCCAGAGTCATATAGCTGGTAATGACAATCTTGTTATTAAAACATAGATCATCTGATTATTAACACCAGTGTTCTTTTATGATTCACATAATAAACCCAAGATGAGAAGATTATAGAGAACTTTCAAAAGGACCCACATTATCCATGTGCTCTGAGTACAGAAAACTGATAGTAATATAAATGTCACATTGCCCCTCACCTGCCTTGTAGGAAACTTGTAATTCATAAGGTCTCAGTGCACTGGCCTTGCCTTCCCATGCATTTGAATGCACCTGGAAATTTTTCTACCTAGGAAACCCTAGAAGATAGGTGGTTTGGCTTGGTTTTCCCCAGAGGCATATCCTGAGATAAAGATTCAAGTGCAAGTGACTTGCTTAGGAGGAGAAAGAGATACTAGTAGGGAGTGGGGTGGTGATATAGGGAAAGGTGTGTCACTGAGCCAGCTGCCGGTGACTGGAGCTGAATCCCAAGACAAAACCTTGGATATTGTGTAAAACACACACCTCAGAGACATCCCACCTGTGGAATGAGGGAGCTGGGGTGTTCACATACCAACTCCTATCAATTGTTAGGAGCTGCTGGGCACGGGGGATAATTCCCCCACCTTCTGGCATGCTGAGCAGGAGGGTAGAGTAGTGTTCTATAGGTGAGGGAAAAAGCTCTCAGGCAAAGCAATGCAGATACTGGCAGGGCAGGGTTGCTGGTAAACGGCAGGAGGACATGGAAGAACACCTGGAGGGTAGGCTATAACAGGATCCAGGTCTTAACATTTTTCTAATTTTCATTCAAAGTCCACAGTAGTATTTGGGACATAATAGTCCCTTGATACTTATGGATACATCAACTTGACATCAAGAGTAATTATGAGAAATGCTTATAGATGGACACTAAATCCTAACCAACAAAAGAACATGGAAAGAAAAAAGAAATACAAAAAGGCAAAGGAGATACTGGGGAGTCACCCCTACTCACACTTTCTCATAAATCTTGTTGGGATGCTCCGGCCATTCAATCATGCACACCACTCTGTTGGGCATGGTCTCCGTGGTTGAGTAGTAGCCCTGAGGGAAGGCCAGCAGGAGAGCCAGGACCCAGATGACACAGATGACCACCTTGGTGGCTGTGGCTGACAGCCGGGGCTGGAGGGGATGAATGATGGCCATGTACCTGGAACAGAGAAGAAAGGACAAATTTTTGATTTGGTCACCAAAATTTGCATTAGCGATTAGCATTGTTCTATCAATGAAAGATTCCAGGGAAACCTTTGACTTCTGATGATTTTTATAACTATTTTCTGATCCCTTTTGGCATATTCTATCCTTCAGTTTTGTGACTCTTAGGACATAAAACTTTAAAATCCATAAGAAAAGTCAACCAGGTTCTTAAGTATTTTAGAGCCTATCTAGCAACATTCCAGAAGAGAAGTTTTCATCATAGAATGCTCATGGTCTATACCCAAGTATATATCAGTGGCATACAGTAGAATTAGAAGGACAAGAACAGTGTTGTAAATGTATTCAATATGACTACCTTCAATCCTTTTTGGAGTAAGAAATAATGTTGACAGAAATAATGGTTTTTAAAGTCTTTATGGGGCAATTTAAAAGGCTAGCAACCTCATATTGGTGTCTACTATTTGAAGGGAAATGAATGTGTATGTGAGAAAGCAGTAGCCTAACAGCAAAACATCAGCCCCTGGAGAAATCTTCAAGTTCAAGTTCTTTGAACATCTACAAGTCAATGTGTGGCTTGCAATATATGCTTCATGAGGACAAAGTTTCCATCTGCTGAAACAGACACACGTAAGCATGTTATATAGTCCAGGGTAGATGAAGTGTCATCTGCAGGAAGAAGGGAAGCAAAGTGAACGGTGACTCAGGACTTGGAGTCACCCCTCCATCTCCTCTCATCTGGGATGGAGCACTGAATGGTGCCAGTTGAATGAATGTGTCCACATGTTTGAATTTGTGCCACCTCTGAAATGTAGCAGAGATCTTAGGAGTAATAAATATTCCAATCATCATTTCATACCAATTACAATCACATCAATTCTGCATCTTCCATTTTAAAAGGCATCTTGCCCTGTGCGTTTTTCTTGCAAAATTTATGGATCCATCCCTTAAATTATTTTTGTCAAAGTAGAAGTTATATCTCACACTGCCTTTGGGTCTTAAATATTATCTGACAAAGCCTCACATATGATTTTTTGACATGCAGGTATTTCTAGCTGCTGTGGGACAGAATGGTCAATGGAAACTTCAGAAATTAGCAGACAAATGGAATCGCAGCTGTCAGCTGTCTGCACATAATTCCACATAATTCTTTTTCTATACTCTCTGAACTCCTAGGATCTGTAGGCCAGAACTGGGGCCACGGTTATAAGTAAAGCAATTTCATTCAGTATGTGCTCTACAAATTCACACTGGGCACCTGCTGCATGTGGAACACAGCTTTTCCTTCTTGGCTCCATGCTTCTGATTTCTCCAGGGAGAGTAGGCGCATAAATAAGCAGCCACAAAACATGACAGTGGGATATGTGACCTTAAGTGGTAATCTGATAAATACCTTAGAGCCTTATGGAGGGTGAGGAGGTAATCAAGTTGGTATGGCAGCGGGACTGTTGGAGGGGCTTAAAGAGATGTGCTTGCTGGATTTGGGACAAGTCTGCTGAGCATCCAGCTTAAAGGGCCAGAAACACTCAGAGCCTTCCTCTCTTCTCTGTTATGATTATAAATCTGACTCCCTGTCCCGGAAGCTTGATGGCTCAGTTTTTGTGAAGGCTTTTTTGAGTGTCCAACATAATTCTAAACTTTTTTCTAAGTTTATTTATTTATTTTGAGAGAGACAGAGAATGTGTGAGTAAGTGAGGGGCAGAGAGAGAGAATCCCAAGTGGGCTCCACACTGCCAGCACTAAGCCCAATGCTGGGCTTGAATCCACAAAACTGGAGATCATGACCTGAGCTGAAACCGAGAGTTGGACGCTTAACCCAGGTGCCCCATAATCCTAAACTTTACTGGGGAGCCTGGGTGGCACAACTGGTTAAGCGTCTGACTTAACAGTCATGTGAAGGCACCTTTTCTGGGGCGCCTGGGTGGCTCAGTTGGTTAAGCGTCATGATCTCACAGTTGGTGAGTTTGAGCCCCACATCAGGCTCTGTGCTGACAGCTCAGAGCCCGGAGCCTGTTTCAGATTCTGTGTCTCCCTCTCTCTCTGCCCCTCCCCTGCTCATGCTCTGTCTCTCTTACTCTCAAAAATAAATAAATAAATAAATAAAATTTTTTTTTTAATTTAAAAAATAAGATAAAATACTTTTCTCCACATTTTCTTGCTAGGGACCTAGGCTTTCTTCTTTGGTCTTTTATAGTAATGCCCCCTGAAGGTGTTCAGTGTGCAGAGGCTGGATATTAGGGTACCTCTTGTCAACCTTTACACATATGATCAGAAAAGTGATAACCTTCAGGAAGGAAACCCCCAGGATATTTTCCTTCTGCCTCTTTTGGAAAGTGGGCAGGCAGTCCAGAAGTCAGGTGAGAGGAGAATAGGAGGAGACTTGGACTAGATATTTTGGTGGGGGTGAGTAATAATCTATAAATCTTTGGGCAAGTTTCCTCAGTTGGGTTGATGGCTGTCAAGCTAATCATTCAGCTGTTGTCTAGAGCACCAAAGGGGCAAAGACGACTCTTAAACTGTGAATCAAGCATTGTCTGTCTTCTTTAGGTGACCCCAAGAGGCCACAACTGCTTCCAAGTGAGGCCCACTGCATAGTAGACCTGATGACTTTCCATCCTCGAGGTGGTCTCCAGAAAAGAACCCTGAGAAGTCTTGATTTCTGTCCTGAAGGACTTTCTTGCTGCCTGAAGGCAATGACGCATTGGTTTTCTCTTTGGTCATGGGGTGATAGTGGATAGGGAACCCAGAAACAGAGCCAACGGAGGTGAACTGTACAACCACTATTATCCTTTCCAATTTGGTGAAGGGCTGGACCTGGATAGTCAAGGCCAGAATCTCTTTTGAGTGTTTGCATTAATTTAGGATTTCCCATTGGATCACTTCCCAGAGGCAAGATCTTTCTCCTACAAAGCTGGACACGTAGCCATGAAGATGTCTTTCCTTTCCAGCACCATCCAGGCTCCTGCTCTCACTGTAGCTTTGCCTTTCTCAGGCCTCACAGGGGCTTGAGGAGGCTCCACAGAGGACAGTGTGCTAATTACATTGTCCCCTTTTTAATATGATCTCAAACGCAAGATTTTAATTTGCATTTAACTCAGTATAAACATTCAGTCTTAAATAAATATACCTTATGACCCATCCCCGACCCCGCATTGGCGATACACCATTCAGAATCTAATGTGACTGGGGCTTAAGGGGAACTGCATCAGCATATTGGTGCTATAGCTCCAAATGGGTTGCAGAAAGTCATATTTTATCTTTATTGCAAAAGTTACAACTTGGGAGCCCATTTCAGTTAACTCTGCCATTTCTTGAGTGTAGGAGCCATTTCAGTGACAGATGAAAGCATTACCCATATAAAGCCAGAGATTACAAAAGATTGGCCTTAAAAAATGTATGTATTTTCATTTGTTCAAAATAGAGCCATTTAGAAATGTCTTTCCTTTCATTTTTTCTCCCCTTCCTTCTTTCTTTCTTTGGCAATACTTACTTCTGGGGCTTAAGAGACATGCTTCTTTCTTACCCCAAATCTAGTACCACTCAGGTAACTTGTCTGCTCATCAATGCATATTTTCTTTCCTGCTGACCATTCCGAGCTTAGACTCCATTAACATACACTAATATAGTTGTTTGTAAACCCCCTGAACAACTCTTGCTTATTCAGTTATGAGTTATCATTGAGCAAGTGCTCCAAGCCTTAGGAAAATGCATTCAATAAATATTTATTGACTGCACTGTGCTCAAGAGACCGGAAGGCAGTCAATGAAACATCTTCCTGGTTTACGCATTAATCATTAGGCTGCCAGAGACAGGGGTCCGGAGGCTGTGTGGGGTGTGGATTATGTTTTCCACATCAGGTTGCTCCAGTCCCATGGAGGGCCAGCGGCTCTGATTTGAATTGTATGTGGCCTCCGAGCTGAAACACTTGAGGTGCTATCTTTCTCTTGTATGATCATGCTTTATGGAAAGAACTCTCTGTAGAGTCCCTGAAACCTGGCAAAATATAAGACTGCACATTTTTTTTTAAAAGGCAGAGTGAAATAATATTGTGAAAAAGAATTCCAATCTTCTGACAAGCCCCAGGATCCACATAATGTCCTCTTATACCAGCCCTAAATCACCTGGCAGGGAGGATGTCTTTCCTCTGCCAAGATATCAGACCTCCAAGGCCCTTCCTCCAGGTCCAGTCCCTGCCATGCCTTACCCCCACTCCCTCCCTCCTGGGATGGTACAAGCTTCTGTCAAGGGACTACATCTTCCTGGGTTCCAATGATGAGGAATAGTGGCAGCTTTGAGCATGGCTGCTATTGTCTTGTTCAAAGGTTGGCAACTTTTTTCTGTAAAAGGGCCAGATGGTAAATATTCTAAGCCTTGTGGCCCATATAGTTTCTGTCATAACTACTCACCTCTACCTTTGTAGTGTGAAAACAGACAAGGCAACTATAGGGCATGACTGTGTGCCAATAAGACATAACTTACAAAACTGGTGGTGGCCGGGCTTGAGCCCGGGCCGTCGTTTGCTGACCTTTGGACTGGTTTATGGGAAGTGAAGAGCAGGAGGAATTAGAACCATAGGAAAACCTGGTGTACTCTTCAGAAAAACTCTTTACCTTTGGCAGACTGTGGACTGTAAGACTGAAACTGGATGGATAGATGTTAATGCCCACAAGGAGTCAGTAAAGTGGTCAGCTACCATTCATGACCCAGAATCCAGCCCCTTGTCAGAGAACAATCATCACTAACCCGTGATGGTTTTGCTCCTTAATCTCCTCCTGGATGGCTCCTACTTATTTTCATGGGTTGGCCCATTTATTATGTCCTATGACTGGGTTTAGGTGCCCTGCCTTTCCTGCTATGAAGATTTCTAACCTTGTATGGACCACATTTCAATTTATTTGCCTATCTACCTTGTCTCAATTCATCCTTGACAGATTCTTTGGAGATGGCAGCTGCTGTGACTTATTTAAGCTTGTTTCCTTGGCTTACCTTAGTGTT